AAGGGTCCTGGTACAAAAAAGGTTAAGAGCCACTGCTCTAGAGGCCAACTGGCAGCACCCAGAGGGGAGAGGGAGATGTCTATGGTCACTGTCTCAGTGCTGGGAGCCTCTCAGATGCTGCAAGGCTAGAGACCAGCTGAGATGTAGGGAGACAGACACAGAAATGAGTCCCTTCCATGAACCAACATGCTTGTGCTTTACCCATGTCTTCAGCCAGAGGCTGCCATGCTGTTTGCTGGGATTTCACTGAGTGCAGGAGCCTGAGTCTGAGGTGGACCATATTTCATTTCCAGTAAATGCTCTTCTGGTTTGAGGGGTCTCTGACCTGGGGCACTCAGAGAACAAACTGGTCCTGGCATCCCCCACCTGGGAGGGTCCCCAGGCTGTGGAACAACCCGGCCATGCAATTCGCTGCCTGCAGGGTGCTCAGGTGTTTTGTCTTGCCAATAAAATTAATTCAAGCAAGAGAAAAGGAGAATGTGAAGCAGAGGGGGCTGAGGCAGCAAGCAGGAGGTGGGAGAAGGCATGAGGGAAAGGAAGGGCCAGACCCAAGGAGTTATTTAAAAGCCTAAAAGCTCATTGATTTTGATAGGACTTAGATGCCTAAGGAAGTTTATAGATCTGGCCCAAAGTTCCTTGGATCTTGCAGGGAAGAGCTGGAAAGCAGCTGGCCATGGGAAGAATGGCCAGCTGCTTTCTGGCAGTCACTCAGCTAAAAGGAAAGGGCCAATATTGCTGACTTCTCAGCCAACACCCTCCCAGTACAGTGTGCCAAACCTGGCCAACACACCCAGCATGTAAAGCTGCCTGGAACTGGGGCATATTGGCTTATGGAGCAAGTAACCTTAGCTAAGAACAGATGCAGCTACCAGTGCCAGCACTGAGTCCAGAGAGCCCCAAGGCTAATGACTGAGGGGAGCAGACTTCAGTCTGGGGAAAAAACTGGAGGTGGGGTGACAGATCATGATAGCAGTTTTCCAGTATTTGAAAGGCTGCCAGGAAGAAGAGGGAGGACAACTGCTCACAGAGGCAGGGCACATGGCAGTGGGTTAAATGCAGCAAAGCAGGCTGAGATCAGATCTCATGGAGAAGCTTCCCAGCTGCAAGAACTGTGAGATGATGGAGCAAGCTGCTCAGGGAAGATGTGAAATCTCCTTCACGGGAGGTTCACAAGAAGAGGGTGGATAGACGTCTGTCTAGGATGGTTTAGATACAAGTGCATCCTGCAGCTGGGCTGGATGAGGTGACTGTGGAGGTCCCTTCCACCCCCACAGCTCCAAGGGAAACAACAGGACTACCTGCCAATGCCGAAATATCCTGAGCCGTGTGTGCCTTTTAAAATGTGTTGTTCTGGCACCTTTGAGAAGATTGTGAAACTTATTTTATTAATAGTGCTATCTGAAGCTGAACAAGCAAGGGAGGGAGAGTGTGAGGGGAAGGTGGATGTCAGGAAAGCAACGGTGAATTTCCTTACAGATCAGAAGCATGAGAGGGGCTGGAGGGGGCTGAGGACTTGAATTTTCCTCTGGTTGAAAAGGGAGTCCAGCCAGGCTCAGGTGGAGGAAAATAGGCTCTTCCAGGAATCTGAGCTCCTGTCAAGTAACACCACCATCACTTGTTCTTTGGGGAGCAGGCTGATTGCTTTCCAGTGGGACTCTGTATTGTAGGAGTGATGCTTGTATCAACTCAGGGGTGAGACCCGTGTCCTGTGTCACTGGGAGCCCACCCATGGTGAGGTGGTTAGCAGGAGGAAAACTAAATCATCTGGAAATGAAGCAGCAACAACCACAAAGCAAGTCTGTCTCTCTCTGTGCTGGTGCTCTGACAGGGGACTCCATCACCTGCATCAGCCTCTGAAGGGCCAGATATTTCAGACTCACTTGTTCTGAAATAGGAAATTCACTCCTTCCAAAATGTGTGGGTGCAGCTTTAACCCCGCAGACTTTTGGCATCTGGGGAAACACTTCTGGCCATCATTAGCTTCCTTTCCACTAGCTCTCCTCAGCTAATGGTGGGATGGTGCTACCAGATCTGGTTTCCAAGGAATCCCATGGCAGTGAGGAGAGAGTGACATTAGAGTCCCGTTCATGGCACAGTGCTGTTGACTCCTACCTTAGATCCTGCTGGCAGAGCAAGGGTCTCCTGAATGTCTGCCCCCTCCATTATGTAAAGAGGTGCATTATGTGATTGCAGGCCACTTCATGGGAAAGAAGAGTATCTCAGGCCCTTCACACCTGGAGTCTCCAGAGGATGCTGCCATAAGCTCTGTCCCAATGGCCTTCAGTCCATCCCTCCGAGCCATCCTGGAGGACATGAAGGAGCTGCTTACCAGGGAACTCCTGAAAATCCTCTTGCAAGAGAGATTATTAGATGAGAACCAAGGAAAGCATGATCTTGCTGACCAGGTGAGCACTGAAGAAGCCATGGGAGGGAGAGAGATCAGAATGAGAGAACATGGCAGGCAGCAAGGGGGAAGTTGGGAGCCAGACCCGGGTCCCCCCACCCTCAGACGGTCACATGGTGGGTCCCCCAGGAAACCCCACCAAGGTGGGCTGGAGGAGGTACCTCCTTTGGAAGGGGAAGGTAAAGGGGAAGGACTCGGTGGGCGTTCATGTGGAGGCAGCAGAAACACTGGCTTCAGTTTCTGAATGGGAATACCTGGGTGGGCAGTGTGAATGCCACAAAAGTGGGTTGCCTCTTCACTTCCATGAGGCCTTGGTGGTGGAAGAGCTTTCATTTGGTCCCAAGCATTTATAGGACAAAGGCTGCAGCTTTGTCCCCTCTGCCACCCATGGGAAAGTCCCCTGATTCTCTGTCCACTCTGTTCCTGGAAACAGTGGGGACACACTAGCCTGTGGCAACTAAAGAAGAAAAATCCCTCTGAGGTATTGGCAGCCCCTGCCAGAGGTCTGTCTCCATCAGTGACAGCGCTGAGGTGTCACATCACAGAGGAGGAACGAAGGGGCCCCTCATACATCTGTGGCACTAGGATTCTGCATGTGGGTTGTCAGTCTCCTACCCCAGACACACAGAAAGCAGGACAATTTGGATGAACTGGTGAGGTGAGCAGAGGAGGAATGAGTTCATGGCAAGTTGCTCAGCTAAGGTAATGGGCTAATTCAAGAAAAGTTATTCCTGGGAGATTTCAAATTGCATTCTGGGACACTAGGAGAATTGAGGGAGAAGAGGTCAAACTCCTATAGTTCCCTGTGCAACTCCCATAATTCCCTTCCATGGTTCCTATGGGTCTCCCCTGGTCTCTTGTCCTAACCCTCTTATCATGAAGGCTGGCATGAAGGTTTGAAGGAAAGGTTTCTACTGGAGCCTGATGAGCTAGCAAAGATGGAAAGACAGGCAAGTAGCTCACAGAGCCCATTGTGAAGGCTAAGTGCTGTACTTATGCCACTTCTGGATCGTTGACCATGCCCACAGATGTCTGGAGACATGGGGCAAATTAGTTGCAAAACTCCAGCATGAGGAGGGAGGTGTTTGTCATCCCACTGGACCCAGGTCACCTTGGCACTGCAGCACCAACACACACAAAGATGTGTGTTCCTGTCATTATGATGGTCACAGGCAACCTGCTGTGCATGGGAACATGGGTGAGCAGTGTGGGGATATGAAGAGCCTCAGGGGATAATGATGTGCAGCTCTAACTTGTAAATCTGATGCAGTGGCTGGTGGGAAGCCAAAAAAGAGATTTGACGAGAGTCATGATAGGACCAAATTGGCAGTCATAGCTGCCCTCTGTATGGACAGAGGACATGGGCTCAGATACACCCTCAGCATGGACAGTCATCTGGGAGCTGGAGGGCAGCATTTGTGGAGCCACAACCAGTGACGGTGGCAGTAACTGTGACCTCCACCTGCTTCATTTCATTGGATCCATAGCTGCTTGTCACCCCCATCTCCTCCTCCATGCCTCTCACCTGTTTTAGATTCACACAAAATTGCAGTGCAAACAGAGTAGATTATCCCATGTTTTCCCAGATCTCTGCTCAGGATGTTAAGCTTAGCTCTGGATTTGTGGGATTTTGGGGTGTGTTTTTTCTGAAGAGTACCTAAAGCGTTCACTTTCAGTGCTCCCACAGTGGTGCTGTCAGGGTACAGTTTCCCTATGATTTGATTAATTCCCAGTCAGTCTCAGTATAGCTTCCTGGTCTGATTTCTGCCCTAAAGTAATAACTGTACCTCTTGACGGCCAATATTCTGGTGTCACCATCTCCTCTGAACTATTTGCTTTGACCAGGCTGAACAGCCAGGCTGCATTATGTTATTTCTGCACAATACTGGGATGCTGCTTAAATTTCCTATGCTCATTCCAGTGGTTTTATCAGAAATGCTCAGGCATTGGTGCCTCATGGGTGGTTGTCACTTTGATCTCTGCGCTCGTTCAGATTAACTCAGATGCCAACATGAGATTCTTGTAAATAACTGATACTGGGGACCATGTCACCTGGTAATCTTATAAAACCTTTGCGCAGGGTTTGTGGTTCCAAGTCTTGGCAGGTAGAGAGGTAGTAGAAAGCAGTGATTGTTGGGCACTCCAGGTGGGACATGCCCTTTATTGAGAGCACAACTGGGGTGTGTCTGTTAGGAATGATGTCTAGGTAACAGCAGTGGGAAAGCTCTCATTTTTTATCGCCTGTCTTTGAGTTCCTCAAACCTGTGCAAGGTTTAGAGTTTTGTCTTAACAGTTTTTTTCACACCAAGATCCATTGCTTCCTGCAGGTTGTGTCTCCCCAATGCTGCCATGGCCAGGCTAATCATCAGATGGCACAGTGTAGTTCATGCTGTGTTCAGGGCCTTCAAAAGCAGTCACAGTGGCCAGAGTCCTTCCCCTGGGAAGCGCCTTCCATCAGTTATGCTGAGGAACTTGTTAAGTTCCCTGTTACAACCAGTCCTTGGACTCACAACACAGTTGGTTCCTGAAAACTGTCTTAAGTCAAAGTATTGTAACTCGGAACTGATTTTCCCATAGGAAACAATGTTATAAATGGGTGATTCGTTCCTGAACCAAGGCCTGATACCCTATTTTTACCAAAAATAACCCAGAATTTTGTTCTCAATCAATTATAGATGAGCAATATAGCTACATTAATGTATTTATATTGTAAATAGCAATCATATTGATTTGGAAGGATTTTGAGGTGATTTTGCTGGACTTTTTATGGGCTCTTGGTTGGACTTTTTGAAGGGTTCTTGGCTGGAGCCTTCTCAGGAGTCTTAGCTTCAGGTTTTTCTGGAGTTTTGTCTGCTTTCTTAAAGAAAGTGTCCAAGGAAGTTTGGACAGATTTTCTCCAGCGAGATGGGTGATGCAGTGAACTTGTTTACTGGCATGGTGTCATGTCGCAGCAAGCATTGTAAAGTCGAAACGGATGCCAGAAAGTTGAAACAGGGTGTCAATTTATAAATCTTGTAAGTGGGGAAACGTTGTAACTTGAAACATTGTAAGTCGAGGAGTGCCTGTACTGACTCCCTGCACAAATGGGTCTTCTGATCATTATTCTGGGGCTGTCCCAATCCCACTGAAGCCTTATGGGATTTTTCTGTTGACTTCAGTGGTTTTCAAATGAGACCACTGAAATGGAAGGCTAGCTCTGTGGGCTGGCTATAAATCCAGCCAACTTTCCATGCATTTATTTTGTCTCAGGAATAAGAACAAAGGTGCAGTAGGGTGGCTCATGAGATGAGTCGTATCCAAGACAGCCACGTGTGTAGATTTTAGCACTTCTTAAACTTTCCCTCTTTATTTGGGAGCTTAGCTCAGGCTTACATCTGGAGAGACAAAGGCATTCCTATAATGATGGCAGGAAATGAGGCCCATCAGTCCCTGGGTCCCCCAGCTTGTTGTTAACATAATACTTGTCTCTTACATTAGAAGCTTCCTGTGCTTTGTACTGCACTGAGCAAAATACTGACATTTGCCAAATAACAATGGAGATTATAATAGGGGGTGTCCAAACTGTGGGTTGGATCAGGTGTGTGGAGCTGTTTCACCCACCTCTTGGAGCTCCTAGAGTGACCCAGAATTTGGGGGTGGTGTGAGCAGGGTCGGGGCCCACTGCCAGATTCCCATCAGTTGGGAACACTGTGGGTGGCAGAGAACAGCTGGGAGCAAACAATGGTTGCATTAACCTCTTTGTTGCCACCTTTGCTTGCCTTACCGATGTTGGGTCCAGATCCTGGGTCTGGATCAAGCCCAGAAGGATCCCTGCAATCTGGATCTGTCCCAAGGGCCTGCATGAGTTTGATACCCTTGGCTTATAGGATAGAGGAATTGTGCGTACCCCTTTAGGTAGGGTGTGAGCCTCCACATGGCCCTCACTTGGTCCTGCAGTTCTGAAGCCACAGGAGCCTTGCTTAGAACAGCAGTGGCAATGTAGACGGACTTGACAGTCCTGTGTAATTAATTCTTGGTTATTTGTGTGGTGAAGGTAGGAATTTGGGTAGTAGGAAACCAGGTTTCCCAAGTGTGTTGTAGGGCAGGGAACAGGAGAAGGCTCTGAAATAAATTAGAGCCAAGTTTGGCTGACAGCCCTGGAGCCTGGACTGGTTACATGCGTATGCAAGTAGTTTACAGTACCTGCTGCAGTGTGTAATGTCTATTAAAGTGTCTGGTATTTTGTCAGTGCAGGCATGTCAGATAGGAACTGAAAATGCTAACAGAGGACTGAGGAAATGGATCAGCATTTCCTTAAGGGAAATTAGTGTTTGAAGAAAATGCATCAGAAACCTAGAGACAACAGCGCTGGGCACCCACTGAGAGTGGGTGCTAGAACAGTAGTCGTGCCACTACTAGCCAAGCCACCACCCTCAGTGGCCTGGCCACTGCTGCCAGCCAGGGCACAGAAACTGGTTGTTATGCCCGCTGAGATGCAAACAGCTTAATTTCTTCCTGTGTCATATGAAGAAGCAGTAGTGGGAATTTACACTGTTAAGCTTGAGAATGTAACAGCTAAAGAAATACCAGACTTTTAGTGGTGGAATTGGACTCACAAGTCATACTGGGCTTACTAGGTGGTTTGCATTCAGTGTCCAGAGGCAATTTGATAAAGAGATAAGCCAGAGATGATCGGGAACAGATACATAGAATACAGAATGTATCTGATGGTGTAGGGTGCTTGCCTGATGAATACACAACAAAGATAAGCTCGCAAGTATAACCTGTAATACATGTGCCTTGTAAAATCCCCATAGCACTAAGGGATATGGCTAAAAAGAATTGCGTCACATGGAACCATTGCAAGTTATAACTAAAGTGTAAGAACCTGAGAGTGGATCAATTCTGTAGTGACTGTAAACAAACCAGAGTGAAATGGTATAAGAATATGCTCAGATCTTAGAGATTTGAACAATGCAACATTGAAGGGAACATGTTTCCATTGCCGTCAGTTGAAGAAATCACTAGAACATTAACAAGAGCTACAGGTTGCACTGTCTTAGATGCCAGGAGTGGGTTGTACCATTGGATGACAAAAGGTCATGACTTCATATAGTGAAAACACAATTGGCTGGTACAAGTCTGCTCAAGATCCTTTGGGCATCTGTTCAGCTCCTGAAGCATATCAGAGAGTGGTATGACAATTGTCTGAAGGCCTAGAAGACACTGAATGTTATTCAGATAAAATACTGGTGTAAAGAAATAGCAGATGAGATTATGATGAGGCTTAGGAGCATTTGGACGCATTGTGAAAGGAAACTGTGACTGAATAAGAACAAATGCCAGGCGGCTCTGACAGATGTTGCTTCACAGAAGAACTGATAACTTGCAACTTGCTGCCAAACAGAGAAGGCCAGAGCAGCTCAAGGCTGAATTGCAAAGACTCCTTCTTGGCTGTCCGGTGGCTGGCTTCAAGAAGAGAGCTGATGCTCTGGATAATGCATGGCTCATATCTTGGTGCTTAAAACAGTTTGGGGAATGAGGGGTGCATACTCATACCCCTCTGGGTTGAGCGGTGGTGAGAACCTAGCTCTCTTCCTCCCTGGGTTCTCCTCCTCCTATGCCCCAATGACTAGGCTCTGGGGCTAAAAGGTAAGATGGCTCCCTGGCTCTACTTCTCAATTCAGACAGGTGGAGGGCCCTTGGCCACAATGTGTTTGAATCTCAGTTTATTTCTTGCACAGATTCCCTGAGCCTGCTGCAGTTCCCCACTGGCTTTCCTAGCTGTCTCCAATGACACAGCAGTTTCTAGTGGGTGTTTTTGGGTGAAATTAGCAAGGTTGCTTTATTTGACATGCTACGCACTTGTCACTTCCTTAATTCCCCAATGCTTTCCAGGTTGGCCATGTTTCATGAATTCCTTCATCCAGCCACAGTTTCAGGAATGGTTGATTTTGTGGGCTGATTGTTTGTAATAGTGAAAAGCCTTGGCTTTGGAGTCAGATAATTCTTTCTCATCTGCTTCAACAGGTGTGTTACGTTATGCAGTGGATTAATAAAACCTTGGCATCCCACCCTTAGTAAATACAGCCAGCTTCTTCTCATCAGTTCTTCTATAGAACCGAGTACAGAAAGTTCATATTTCCTCAGGCTTCTGAGCTTTGCTGGTTGCCACATGGGACCAGGAAGGAATTTTTTCTGTGCTTGTTGCTACAGGTGTCAATGTTTTTTTTTTTCCCCACCCTCTTCAGAAGCACTGGGTGTTGGCTGCAGCCAAGGCTAGGGATTTTGACTGGGGTTTGCTGATGCTCCTGTTGGAATGAAAACCCAGAGGTTCCTAGTTCAAGCATGTTGCAGTGCTGCTCAGGGGCAGATTCATCACTACATTTGGGATCAAGATGGAATTTACCCAGGGTCCGAATTGCGTGGGCTGTTCTGGGGGGTTTTGTCTTCTCAGTAGTGGGGGGCATGGCCCTAAAGTGTATTTAACAACCCATCCAGTAGCAGCACATTGATAGGTTCGAGTGTTCCTGATGTCTTTGGGCATTGTGCCTTGTAGTTGTGTGACAGGTCTGCCTGTGTAGGTTTAGGAAGAGGTTAGACAAGCA